AAAATTACAAAAAAAATGAAGAATTTTAAATAATTAATTTTATACTAATATCGATATATTTTTGTCAAAATTTTATGATATCTTCAAACTTATATTTTATCCAAAAATAAAAATATAATCGTTTTCTCAAAATCACATACGGTCATATTATAAAATCGACTGAGATAAAGAATAAAATGAAATAATAAAATAAAGATGTATCTCGTTGCATTGCGCGAGTACCCTTCTAATATTACTAAATATATTTTCCGGAAGTATGATTTTAAAATAAAAATACATTTACTATTACATGCAATTCATTTTAACAAATGTCCTACACCCTAAGTTTGATAGCTTTTAATCTGCTATCTAAATCATGATTTTTTACCTACTGAGTTAATAGTTCATTGTACCAATCCCACTAGGTGTCTACGATGCCGAAAGCAAGACTGAAATTAACAAACACGCAATACCAATATTGTTCTTTGATAGTATTAATGATCGTTATTTTACCTACTTTAATGACCTAACTTGTTAGTCATCGTCTGAAAAAAAAGAGCAATAGTTTTCCTCTTGTTTTACTTCTTAAATTATTGTAAAAGTTTATATAATATATGATTCACTCTATTGACCAATTTTTTATATATATTTTATTAACATTTTATTAAAAATTTATTAATATTCTTATTATATACTTTTTATTATATTTATTCAATGTAATTTTCTTCTAATAATGTATAATTCAATTATAACAATGTCACTCAAAATTTAGAAGTTTTTCATAACTAAACTATGAGTGGAAATTAAGTAGTGACTAAACTACAATTTTGGTCCATGTGGTTTACTTCCAACTATAAAAGCATTCAATAAGTAATTTAGAGGGCATTTGGTTCGTAAATTCTGAATGAACTTGATGGAATTGTAATGTTGAATTTCATTGACCAAATTTCATTCTCTTGTTTGGTTCATTCTTTTTTCACGAAAGAAATCTTCAAAATCTTATAAATTCCACAAATAAAGGATTTTAACATTCCTTAGCAACTATATAGTATTTTGATGGAATGAAATTCTCTTTTCATAATACCAAATATGCCCTTAATCCAATATACTCTAATCTCATAAAACCCAATATGACCATCGTCGACCACCTTCGATCGTCGTCGATTTGAATCTCTGCCGACCATCGCCATCTGAACCACTATCGACTACCACCGATCTAAACCACCGCCGACCACTACCGATATGAACCACCGCCGGCCACCGCCAATCTGAACCACCACCGATCTGATCCACTATCGATCTAAACCACCGCCAATCTGAACCACCACCGATCTGATCCACTATCGATCTAAACCACCGCCATCTGAACCACCACCAATCACCGCCATCTGAACCACCACCAATCACCGCCATCTGAACCACCATGGACTACCGCCGATCTGAACCACTGTCGACCATCTTCATTTGAAGCACCACGGACCATCATCGACTTGAACCACCACCAACTACTACCGATCTAAATCATCGTCGATCATCACTTCCCATCACTGACCTGAACAACCACTGATCTGAACTACCGCCTATTTGAACTACATCCAACCACCGCCACCTAAAGCACCACAGACCACCATCGATCTAAACCACTATCGACCACCGACGACTACTACCAATCTGAATCACCTCTGGACACCGTCAACCATCAACGATTTGAACAACCATCGATCTGAACCATCGCTGCCATCATTGATCTAAGCCACCGCTGACCACCTCCATCAAAAGACAAACCTATACCTCTCAAAGTTTAGTACTGTACGGAGTCACCTATTTTGTGAAAGACTACTGTTCATATACGGCCAAAGACTATATATCTGCAACAAAGGACAAGCTCACCTCTTAAAGTTTGCCACGTGCTTTGAACCTTCTGAGTTGCAATAATGCAATGGGTATAAATAACTGAGTAATTCTTTCTTCTCAATTATCTTGTCTAACCATATCCAAGCTTCCTTGCCTTGAAAATCTTACCCAAGAAGATATACCTCCCTCTAACTCTCTATCTAAGAGAGACTTCCACTATAACAAGTGAAGAGTACAATATTTTTTTAACATATTTCTTGTAGCAAGTCTTTTCTTCTTGCTATCTGTAATTTATGTGTTTCTTTGATTTTTTTAGATAAGTTTTGTATCTTATATTTTCCACAAACAATCTGTAAAAAATTGTATTGATCTTCTTTATCAATATAAGTTTTTAAAAGTAAAAGCTGATGTGTTTGTATCCATCCCCCATTCTACAAACTGTTACCTATAAATTCTTGTAAATCCGGTTGGGACCAACAGTGATAAACGTCGGTTTACGGTAAGTGTGTTTCTCTATGGTAGAGTCTGTGGACGGTAGGGATGGTGATAATGGTCCCCTCCCACCGCCTATTTATATAAACATTTACGTAATAAGACAAAATAGATCGTCAAGTCGTCACTGATTTGTCAAATCATCACCATACCATAGGGCATTAGAAGACAGTTTTAGGGTCAAAATCTCCCCCAGGTGGCGACCTAGGGGTAGGTGGGGGCGATTCTAGTATATCAGGTATAATATCTGACTTTTGTTCCAGATCAAACACAAATAATTTTTTTCGTATCAACAATTATTAAAAAATATTAACATTCGTTGGTTTTTCATAAAACCTATATTTTTCATAAGAAAATATAAAAACATTCGTTGGTTCCTATTAGATTTTTGACCCCGAAATCGTATGCACGTGGGACCCATCCGTACCTCAAATGGAGAAATTGTGAAAATAATTTTTTTCTTATCAACAATTATTGAAAAATATTAACATTCGTTGGTTTTTCATGAAAACTATATTTTTTATAAGAAAATATAAAAAACATTGTGATTTCATTTATGCGTTTAAAAAAAGTAGTAAAATTGTAAAACTTGACATGATTTCATATTCGTGTCAAGGGTTTGCGATGATAGATTGTATTTAAGGGTTAAGGGTTGTGAGAATAGAAGTGTTTGGATCACTACAATTATATAGAGAATACTACAAGATTTATATATACACGACATTTGGTCCTGAAAAAGACAAACTACCAATGAAAGCCCCCCATGCCTTGAGAAACACCCATGAAGTGTCAAATCGATGCGTCATGAGTTGTCCTCACTAGAAGACAAAAATAGGGTCAAGAGCACCCTTTGAGGACGGTCTAGGGATAGGTGGAGGCGATTCCGGTATATCAAATATAATATCTTATTTTTTGTCCCTAAATCAGATACATATGAGACCTCTCCGTACTATCTGGTCAAGATTGCCCCCATATAGTCAAAATTGCCCCTGGTTATTTTCTTCAAAATCTCTAAAAAGTAATCATTTTATCAATGTAAAGTGCATAAATGGTTATTTTCCCTACATTCAATGCCAAAAAGATAATCAAAAGTGACTTGTTTTATAGCATCAAATTATGTTTATAAGGTCTCATTTTACCCTAAATTAATTTATCTATCTTTACCAACAGGGACGGACCCATAATTTTTTCTAAATGGTGGCACCATTTGACCATAAGAAAAAAAATATAGGAATTTTTTTTTCAAACGGTGATACCGTTCGACTATAGGAAACAAATATACGGATTTTTTTTTCACCGTTTGACTAAGAAAATGACGCTAACATGATTAGGACTTAGGTGCGGGGTGGAATAAAAGCCTTGCAAACCAACTCTACCAAATAAAATTTGTTCTCATTGTAGTTTCAAAATACATATGGTGGCACACAACAAATTAATACGGTTGCACCGTTCACGAAACCTAAATTTTTTACCCTTCGACGAAGAAACGATACGGTGGCACGTGCCACCCATGGCACTTAACTAGGTCCGTCTATGTTTACCAACTCTTAAATATTTATACATTAATTAAGATTACGTTTCTAAAATTTAGTTATCTCTATTTGAAATCGAACACTTGATTTGAAGCAAACATAAATAGAAAAACGACAAAGGGAATAATATAATAAATAAATTAACAGTAAAAATCTATTAGGTGGGTTCCTCCACCCTACCTATTTGGCATTTCAAGTGGTATGTTGTATTGCCACATAGACTTGGAAAGGCTTTGAACCTCTTTTTTTCAAAAGAACTTTGTGGGATAGTCTTTAAGGAGGACCTCTTTCGACAAGGTTCTAAATGACATGAGATATGACGTGAGATGTTAAGCCTCGAGCCATAGCGGCTGTTACGATGAGCCTTTTAGAACATTGTCTTTTGGTCTCTTTTGAAGAAATGTATACCTAAATATAAAAGATGAGAACGTTGGACATCTCACGCAACATCATTCGAGTGAAATCATGGATGGCAGATCGGCAGCTCTACTAGCACAATCTTCTTTCTCCCCAAAAGTATGCAAAAGTGCAAGAAGAACCAGATGTGTTTTTATTGATTTCGTGTACAAACTGGCGCTAAACTAACAGTTTATGAAATCCAAAGGTTCACACTCACTCGTAAATAAAGGGCAACATCAGATGCTGATATCAGATTTATTAAGACGATATTTAGAATCATTGATCCTTGGATACCTGAGTTAAGTCGCTCTTGCTTTTACCTTTCTTCATTTTTGCTTTGAACCGAGACTTGAGTACAAGAGTCTGCACTGTGTTTGCGAAATTCCCCACGGCCATAATTATCAAAAGGATCCCACAGGTAACAACCTGCCAGTGGATCATTCAATTGATTTCAGCATCATTACAAGATTAAAAGCTGAAACAAAATAACCGCAATTTGTGCAAGTCTTTTTGATGTTTTTTACCTGCCATTCAGAAACGACACCAACCATTGCAGTTTTTAGCAATAGCACACCCACGTATGCTTCAAAAGCCTGTAATCACAACATAAACAGAGGTGCATTTAAGTATATAGCTATATTCTGATACAGGAGTATTCAAAACTATGCATGCTAGTCAACCAATGGTTGTCCGACCTGCTATATGAGTATGGGAGCCTTAAGGGCTTGTTTGGTACGTGGACGGGAGTGGATATGACTTTCAGGGTTTTAATTGGACATGGGTAGTTCGATAATTTACCAATTTTGTTTCATCTTCCTTTACCAGCCTAATACCGTGCCAAGCATGGACAATAAGTTTTTGTTCGGTCCCGTCCGGCCCATGTACTAAACGTACCCTAATTGCTGAATTAGTGACAATAATCCACGACACAGGTATCGAAACTGCTTTATTGATCATAAACTTCACATAATAGAATTATTACCGATTTCCAGCAACTCAAGAAGCTGGTCCCTCACAAATACCCTTCACAATGGAAACTACTTGGTATTTTCCTGCTACCTACCCTCATCTCACCTCTTATTTATAGTCAATATCCCCTCCTTCCTTGCCTAACCTCCATCAACTTAACTACCCAACTGTGCAATTCGTCTAAATTGACAAAACCACCCCTTACTCCTTCCTTCTTTGAGCATGCATCAGCTTGACTTCAGGTTTACCACTAAATCTCACTATGAATTTTTTTTTGGGTAATTCTAATTACTATAAAGGATACATCGAATAAGAGGCCTAGGACCTCGTATCCTTTTTCTTGCTTTCAACAAATATGCACATGAAACATATGTGGGTGGCTCCAGCAGGTTTTGGTGATATATTTGGGGGGAAATTGACTGAAAAATCCAATCTCCCCGCCCCTCTTCACTTTATAGCCATCTTTTTCTGTTTTCAAGCTTATAACTTGATTTTAAGCAAACGTGATTTACACAACTTGCATAATCCATTTTTTTTTCTTTTTTTATGCAAGTGGATCCATTTTCTCTTACTGTTCTTAATACAAAAGATGAATTATGCAAGTTGCGTAAGGCCACATGCGTAAAATCCGGAATTACATATAAAAGGTGGCTATGAAGTGGAGAAGGGTGGGGAGATTGGCCATTTACGGTCAATTTCCCTATATTTGGCTTGGGAACATGAGGCAAATGGTTCCAGCTTTTGCAAGAACGTGGTTTGCATCGATTTTCAACTTATTTGTTGCCACACTGATACAAAAGAGAGATAAAATCACATTTTTCAGCAGTAACTGGCAGGAAAGGGTCCCCATAGTACTGGACTCTTTTGTCCTTGCCCTCAAATTATTGGCTGAATTTTAGTGCTCAACTCCTTGTAATTCCGGCCTTTGTTTTATTTGTGGGGAAATTTTATAGAGTTTGTCTAATTCAGCCTATATATATATATATATATATGTGTGTGTGTGTGTGTGTGTGTGTGGATAGAGAGAGAGAGAGAGGCTCATGCATTGTAAATTTGTAATAGTCAGTTTTTTGCTAAAATAGAGAGCAGCCTCTACTTTTTCTGAAATCTTCATTTTCGTTTAGATTTTTTTTTAAATCTTGGTCGTGTGAAGTGCTCCCTTTCCTCTTCAATCGTGGTGATTCATCTTCCTCCAAATATGAGACTTGTGGGTTCTTCATCGTTATCTAATTCTTGTGTTCTACAATCGCAGATCAACAACTTCATTGTTTCTCTCCAGCAACAATTTTCTGTCTACCCAGCACGCATCTCACATCAAATTCATTTCTTCTAATTCCTTTGAAGTTGATTTATTTTGGACGGAGGGAGCAAAAAACAACGGAAACTCGCACAGATTATATATACATGCAAGGAAAATGGTGATTAACAACTAAATTCCCAGAGCAACATGGAGTAATACCCGGGGAAGCAGTAGATTTCAAGTCACTTTTCTAATAACCTCCTATTAAAGGTAAATCGGTGAACTTGGTTGCAATTTTGGTGGTTGCCATAAATTTGCCCTAATATAAGATAGTGCAAAAACATGTTGCGAGTCAAGGAAGTGCTACCGATTCCTCATTGTAATCAAGGCATATTCTTCTTAATATCACTCCAGATTTTATGTACAAGGAAGTGCCATGTTGTATATCTCCATTACTTTTGGGATAAATGGTGAAAAGCCTTCTAAAGGGTCTTCATGTTCAACCAACGTGCTTACCTAAATAAGCAAAATAAAAGGCAAAGGCGTGGCACTGCAAATTAGTGAAACCTCTTTATAGGTATCATCCAGCTACTGGCATCTTCAGTTTACATGACTTGTTAAACAATGTGTAACAAGATAAGAAAATACAAATGTGACAGCAGAGTATCCAACCCTGATGTGAAATCTTAAATACATTTGATTCAGGCACATTTTACTTGAATTTTCTTGGTGTCATACCCTATGAACATCCAAATGATCCTTGAAGTGATGAAGTATAGATGAAGAAAATTACCATGCACCCTAAAAAAATTAGATGGATACTAAAGGTATCAGAGTTGACTCGCACCACTATGCATACTGGATCATCAGTGAATGCAATACTCAAATAATAGTTATTACTAAATATCAGGCATGAAAGTTCTCTTCCATAGAAATTTCATCGGCATATGTATAAAGCTACTAGATGCTTCCTTACCCCCAACATAACCCAATAAAATAGCCAGCTAGCCACAGGTAACCATAACCATTTGCGAATTGCATAATTGGTAAAAGCATAGTTAACTTTCCAGATAGAGCTAATTAGAAAGTACATCACCTGCAAGACGAAGAGAATGGGCAATAACAACCATAATTGACCTTTTACTCCAGCAGTTTCCCCCCACACGACATCCATTCTTCTAGCCTACAATGAAAACAGATAAGTTGATGAATATCCAGTGAATGGGAGTCCTCGTTGATCAGACTCGCTTGTTAAATACATGGATTCTTCATAACAATTTTAGTGACTTTGAGGAATATCAGGGAATCTATGTACTTTTAGCATTTCCATTTTCTTCTTTTTCTTGTATGTTAACCTTGGAGACTCCAAACAGCATGTCAGTAACCTCAAAAAGTTACAAGGGATGCTATGAACAGCACCTTTCCCAGTGCAATGCGTGTATAAAGTCTCTTCCGCTGATATCTGTTTTGTAGAAGCATCGCTACTCCTTGCATGATTGCCCATCTCAGAAACAATTGTATGCCTTTCTGCAAAGGAGTTGAATACACACATGAAAATTTGGTTCCCAGACCTTAAAATCTAACAGAAATAAATTATATTATAACCTGCTTCTGGGCACAGTCAGGTTGCCTTTCTATCTCCCAAGTGAGGCTGATGAGCGCCATACCCATAGCACAATAGTGATGGTATATCCACCTGCAGCATCACAAACCTTAACACATCGCTTATTCCCAAATTGATCATATTTTCATAATGCATAGGAAAAATTCATTAGGTTAAATTCAAAGCATGCAACCTTGCAGGAAGATGTGTCTTGACTTTATGACATATGCAGCAAATAATTTGCAGAATAAAAGGTCAACAGAACATGAAGGAAATCACATCGAATTACCATGGACGTATATCGCTTCCATTAACTCTCAAAATATTTTCTCTTAAGGCTAACCCTGTATAGAGGAAGAGCAACCACGCCTGAAAAGGCACACACTCATCACGCTCTTGTAACAGGCTTATGGCTGATATGCCTTAACAGAAGATAATAATTACTGATGAAGAGAAAAATATTTACCTGGTAAAGCTGGACAGGTAATGCAGGGAAACATCCATTCCAAATCCATGACCTTAGCACCAATAGTAACGATGGGAAAAACAGAAATAGATATGCAGTTCTATCCTGCCCATAGCCCACACAAATACTATAAGTGGTCAGATTAAGCCAAACAAGAAAAAAAAGGCCTGGAAGCACCTAGAAAATATGAAATAGATATGACGGCCTATACAAAGAATAAAGCTATTATTGACCCTATCAGTTACAAGGATCAACACAGCTCAGTTCTAATACTACCCTCTACCACCAACTGCAAACATAACATTGATGCCACGAAACAGAACTCATGAAGAGAGAGCTGGTTGAAAGAACAAAGAGGGTGAAGAAGAGTTATGTGCTGAAATTACAGGCCATATCCAAATCTAGGGTAATCAAATGTACCCCTCATATCTATACCAATAAACTAAGAAATCACAACATATCAATGAACCTCCTAGAAATCATACAAGATAAAGTGAAGAGTTGAACTACAATAATTTATCACTCATGCCACACCCGTTTCACCAACCTGGGGAATTACTAACATCAAAGATGTCCTTGTGATCACATGAGGATTCATTAACTGATGGAATATTCTTCTACAACTATATGTGGTAATGCTGAATGATTTTTTCTAGGAATTTAAAAGGTTGCCTTAGTGAGAATAGTAGGAGAATTTTTTGAATCAACCACGTGACTTCGATAATGGAATACAGAAATAGTATAGAAGTGGATCAAATCTAATTTGTCCCACCAAAGCCTAATTCTACTCCATTATCATCCACTTTTACAAACTCCAAACCTTAGGCGTAACCGCATAAGCATGATGATTGTTATTTGATATCCTTAGAAGCACTCCATTGATGCATAACATTCACAAGATAAGTGATTAATGAAAAGAAGATCCACCCTTGTAGGTAGATGTAGTTTAGAAATGTTCTTAATACAGATTATATCATATGGACAAGAAAAAAAGTCTATGCTCGCTCCTAAAGCTCAATACTAATTAGGGGAAGGGAATTTGTATCAAGTGCAACTCCGTTACTATCATATGAGCAGATGATAATATATGTCGAAATGGGTCCTCAACATGAAAAACATACATAAAATATAGATGCAAAATTGAGAACTTCTTACCCTGAAACTATAGTATTCCTCCTTCACTTTCAATTGAACATCCTTTCTGTTAGCACGAACATTTATTGGACCCAGAAATGACCTCAAAAATCTTCCTGTAAGCCAGACAACACTCACTCAATGAACTAAATTGAACGACCCTCTCTTCATTCCAAACAAAGAGGTACTTTCAAAAAAAATTGTGGCTAAAACTAGCGGTCTGCAGATTCATTGTCAATTTTGATCCTTATAAATTCAGCACCAACATTTCTACATGTAGGCTATCAATTATGATTAATAACATAGTTACCAACATTATTTCAGGATGTCTCGGACGTAAATACAATCATGAAGCTAAAATTAGCCATCAAGGGAGAACAAACTTGTTACATTCTGTATTCAAATGGACTTCACAATTAACTATACTCTTTTATTCTCGTAAAACTTTTATGTAGTTAACTTTTACTCCAAGAGAGTTTAGATTCATAGTTGAGTTTATAAGTCAAGGTTTTCTTCATTTCTGTAAACAAAAAGAATTACAAAATAGTAATGCACAAGACAGACGCAAAACAACAGAGGTCGGTTTTAACTAATAAAAGCAAAGCACCATGTGATTTGCAGGGAAGAAATGTAGCTGCATCTCCTTCACTCAATGTATAACTTGCTCTACTTAGCTCTTCAGCCAACTGTAAATACGCAAGGCAAAAGATCAGACTATTAAAGATAAACGAAATAAATATGAATATGGCGTCAAGTTTTATCATGATACCGATCCTGGAAGTAGAGCTGTTTACAAAATGAGAATTTAAATTGCAACAAAAATACATATCTCTTAAATTTCTCATGTTAAATTGAATTGGACTTACTTTTTCTGCATGTTTGGAATCTAAATTTCCTTTCTTGACGGAAGAAGCAATGAACGAGCGGAGCATTTTGATATTTGAATCCAGCGCTAGGGCTCGTTGTCGTAGCGATGCTTCCTCCTGCGAATTTCTAGAAATTAAGGTCGACGCTGATTCCTGCAACTCTTTACCTTGTTCCACAAGCTTTGAAACTTCTTCACCGGCGTTTCTCACCGACAAACTATTATCACCGCCGGCCGTGGCGGTGGAGTCGCCCATCTCGAACAGATCGAATTAATTGATAATTCACCCAATTTGCACTTAACCAAATACGTGCGTGTTTATAATTAACATATAGCTATGTATCTATTTCTTGTATCTAATCACATAAAAAACATGCGAAGAACGATAAAGGAGATGAACTGAAGAAAACAAACAGGTTTCCGGGCTAGGCGACGGCGTCAGGTGGCGGCGAATTTAATACCGACGGTGGAATTGGCTCTCTTGCTTTTCTCTGCTTATAGTGGTATAATGCAACCACGTGCACTTCAGGTTCCTTTAAGTTAATAATAATAAGTTAAACGAGATACATAAAAATATATAATATATTCCTATTTAACATTAAATAAAAATCAGATTAAAAATCAAATACTAAAATATAATTATAAAAAAAAAATTGTATTGACTAAAAAGATACGAGTACAATGCAGTGAGATAATCTCAATTTTAATGTTTAGTTTTTATTTTTTATTTCTATAGATAAAATACGATTTTATGTGGTTTTCAAAAATCGATAATGTTTTAATTTTTGAATGAAATATAAATTTGAAGATAACATAAAATTTAAAAAAAAATAAATCGATATTAGTATCAAATTAACTATCTAATAGTTCTCGTTTATTTGGTATAAGAACTTTAATTCAATTTTTTTTATTATAATTCAATTTAGATTTAATAATAAAATAATAAAATAATTTATTTTTTATTTAATAATATAATTTTTTACAAAGATAATAATTAAACATTTTGTTAGAACTCAATAATTATTTTAATTATATTTTAGATTTTCTATGTTTAAAATAGATGTTTATCTTGTATTTGATCATGTTTATCTGCAGTTAATTATACGAATTTAAACATGGAGCTTTAATAAGTTGTACTTATGCAAAATTACTTGTACTCTTGAATTTTAAGTAATATGCATCAATAATCAGTACTTTATTCATAAAAAATAGTTTTTAAAAGTTTTTATCAAATGTTTTATAATATAGAATAGATAAATGGCAATTTAAATTAAAATAAAATATATTTTGTTTCTATTTTCATCATATATAATTTACTTTTATTTTTTTTATCTCAGTGCTCCTGACAATACATCTCAAACAAAAAAGTTTAATCTCCACATGGAACCACATATAAGGAGACATTTCATAGTTGACTTAGCGTGAGTTTAGTAAATGAGTTCAAGCCTATCTCCCATGAGATTTTAACTTGAACTTGTTATGTATTTGATTAAAGCCAAGCCTCCCTTTTGTTAGTTCAGTTACACGCCTCTTTGCTCAAAAAAGGTTTACCGATATTTTAGTTGATTATAGTTTCCATCTGTGTAGCATGTTGAGAACTTTTCTATTCATTCCTCGACTTTGTTTATCAAAAAAAAATTGTGGTTTGCACTGTGTTTTAGTTTTCCTCCTTCCGTTGACCCCCGTTATCTTCTTGTCGTTAAGTGCCTCATGTGACCTTCATATGAGGGTACTTTGATCATTTGATAGGAAAAAAAGTATGTAATCTTAAGAGGAAAAAAGCTAAACCCTAAATCAAACCACCCTACCAGTCACTATCCCACTTCCTCACCATCTTTCATCCTCTAAATCGTTTATCTCTTCCTCACTGCTTCTACTCGAATACCTACGCCTCCACCTCAAAACCACCACCACTGCACATACATTCGTCATTGCTTTTGTTTTTGTAACTGTGTTCAGCTTCTACTTTTGTCGTCGCTCCTTCTGCTTCAGCCACCATCGCAATATTTGCGTTTACCATTGTGCTCTATGACATTCTTGTTTCTAACCTTGTCGTCACAACCATCACTCCTTTCTATCCTTTTTCTCCGTGCTCTCCCAAAACGTACGACATAGGTGAAATCAACTCAGCTATGGCAGACACATTATTATGTGAATCAAAACATGTTGTTTTTAAGGTTTTCATAAACCATTTTTGATTTTAGGGGTGTTAGGTTTTGGTATAACCTCATTCTGAATTAGGGGTTTTGAACTTTGGTATAATCTCATATGGGTTTAGGGTTTTTGATCTAAGACTTTGATTTTACATTGGTTTTGTATCACAAATTTTGAAATGGAATTGCAGAATGTATGCATACATAGTATTTGTTGTATATGCTGATATTTTTGATATTCTTATTTTTTATTTGAACTAGAAGCGTACTCGCGCAATGCAGCGAGATACATCGTGTTTTTAATATTTCATTTTATTCTTTATCTCAGTCGATGTTATAATATGGCTTTATGTGATTTTGAGAAAGCGATGATGTTTTTATTTTTGAATAAAATAT